GTGTGAATCTAGGGAGCATTTTCAAATGGCATGCCACAGGTTGATAACACTTGACTTTGTCCTCATAGACTTTTTTCAAATCAGTAATTTTGATAAAAACACAGAGGAAATATTTATCAGGTTTCAGAGTGATCAAGTATCCATTGTAAAGCATGATTGGATCAAGATTCTTAGGCATTGTGGGGCACCTGGGTGGCTCAGTCTGTTGAGCAGCTAACTCCTGATTTCAGCTCAGGTCATGATCTCAGGGTCCTGGGACCGAACTCTCTCTCTCAAATAAATAAATATAAATTAAAAAAAAACTCTTAGGCATTATGAAAGCCTTGAAGTTTTGGCCACTACAGAAAAGATGAAATTTAGTGGGGAAAAATAAAAAATTCCCTGTTTAGATTTTAAAAACAGACTCATCTGTACAAAGAGTTTGTGTCAGTCAGGATAGGCTAGATTATGTGGTAGTAACAAATCACACGCCCAGAATTCCAGAGACCTGACAACAAGGCTTTATTTCTCATTCACCTTACATGTCCACAGTGGGTCACCTAGGGACTTTGCATTTTCCACACTCTGGGATCTAGGCAGGTGGAGAAGCTGTCATCTGAACATCCTTGGTCACAGGGACAGAGAAGAATCTAATTAGCCCTTAAAACTCCCAGGGAAGTATCATGTCATCTCACATCTCCTTGACCAAGGAAGTCACGTGACTACTCCTGGTTCTAGAGGGAGAGCAGTGCGGTCCTACCACGTGCCAGGAGAGGAGAAAACAGTCCTTAGGACCACCACAGGTTAGACCCAGTGTGACAGCTGTTGATGTGAAAAAGAGTGGGAGTAAGTTGGTTGATGGCAAAATTTGGTTGATGAAAAATTAATGCAGCCTTAATAGTGCATTGGTTGAAGTATCTGTGGTAGGCTGAGTAATGGCCCCCAAAGATATCAAGCCCTAATGTCCAGAACCTGAGAATGTTGTCTTCTCTGGCAAAAGGGACTTTGCATCTGTGATTACACTAAGGATTTTGAGATGGGAAGATTATCCTGGATTATCTAGGTGGGCCTTAAATGTACTCGCGAATGTCCCTATAGAAGAGGGAGACAGGATGGACTTTGAAGATGCAGAAAGGCAGAAGCATGCAGACATTTTGATTTCAGTCCTGCCAGATTCATTTTACACTTCTAAACTCCAGAGATGTAGGATAGCTAATTTATCTTGTTGTTGTTGTTGTTTTTAAGATTTTATTTATTTATTTGTTGGGATGGGGGAGAGAGAGAAAGCACAAGCAGGGGGAGCTGCAGGCAGAGGAAGAAGCAGGCTCTCTGCTGAGCAAGGAGCCCAATGCGAGACTCGATCCCAGGACCCTGGGATCACGACCTGAGCAGAAAGCAGACACTTCACCAACTGAGCCACCCGGGCACCCCTAATTTATCTTGTGTTAAGCCACCAAATTTGTGGCCATTGTTATAGCAACACCAGGAAACTACTATAGTATGAAAATCAAGAGTTCTTTTGTTCTCAGACAAAACAATCAGAATAATCAAGAAGCTCGATAATAGCACGTCACATACAGAGTGGCTGAAGTTGCAAGGGAAGTTTCACCTGAAGCAGAAAATAAATACAATGGAGGCTTTCATATCTAAGGGCTGTCTTGGAGGTTTGGGTGAGGCCTGTCTGTGTGGACACAGAAGCCAGAACTTGATCAGTGAGTGGTATTGTTACAGCGATTGGCTCATGACAAGACTGAAGGCTGTTCAACATTAGAACAGGCGGTCCGGTGCCACTGGATACAGGCCTGAAGTTGCTGGATGACCACTGGTCGAGGATATTGTCAGAGAGAATCCTGAGTTGGGTAGGAAATTTAGATAAATAACTCCTTAAGTCCCTTCCTGATTTTTTCCCCTCCTGTATTTGATCCTGACCATTACCTTGACAAGAACCCCATAAGGTGGTTGGCAGGTGTGGGAGGTGCCGGGGCTATACTAAGAGGGGACATTATCGGCCCAGCAGTCAGTAAAGGTGCTGGTCAAGGGGAAGAGACATAATTCAGATTAGAAGAAGTGAGGCCACATGTCAGGAGGCAGGAAGGTGCCCAATGAGAGAACCTCAAAGGAACAACTAGGCAGAAGACCTAGAGAAAGGGGAGTGTGAAAAAGGCTTTGCCCATCCGTAAGCTGAGGTTCAAATGGGTCAAAAGGAAAAGACAGAGAGTTTTGGAAATGAACCCTGTGAATATTTTCATATATTTTAAACTTGCAATGTCAACTGTGTAGCTTAAGGGTCTGGGTTGGATCCTAAAGGGACCTCATAATTTGGCTTTCCTCCTCCCTCTGTCTGTTCTCAATCTCTGTTAGTGACTCCATTTCCTTGGGCCACCCTTTGAGATCTTGTTTCTCTGAGCACCACCTGCGTTATCACCTGGGTACTAGTTAATGATGTCAGGATCACGAAGGTGCGGACTGAGAATCTCAATTCTTCGCCAGCTCCCTAGTTGATTTTTTTTACTCGTTGAAGTTTAATATACAATTCCTTAAATAGTAACACTCTGAAATTTACCCTTATAATCTCTTCCTCCTTCTTGTATGCTCTTGCTAGCCCATCACCTGGCATGTAGGAAATAGATACAATATTTGTGAAACAAATGAATAATGTCACCCAAAGCTCTTCAACCATTGCCTGCCTGTGTGTTGGTGAGGACTCCTAAAATCAGATCTCTAGGCCACATCTCTCCTGAGACTTAAAGCAAGCTCCCAACTGCACATCATTCAACAGGTACCCCAACCTTAGCAACATTTTGCAGAATGGAGCTCATTGGCTTTTCTCTAGAACCTGCTTCTCCCTTGCAAATACAGTCTTTCTTCAGGTTTCCTTAGTTATGGCCACCATCTACCCTGTGTTTTAAGGGAAAAAAAATTGAAAACTTATTTTACTCAACCCCATTCCCATTGGGATATTCATCAACCCCAAATTTTATTATTGCGACACATCTTGATTCTGTCCCTTAACCTTTGTTCCCCACTGTACTTGCCCAGCTCAAATTTGTGTTTTTGTTGCCAGGAAAACTGCAAGAGCCTCACAATTAATCCTTTAACTGCCGATCTCTTTCCACTGTAGCTGTTTTTATCTGTGCCACAAGAAGTCACGTCCTAAAAGAAAATTTGATCCCATATGCTTCCTCTCCTTTTTGATAATACGACTTCCAGATTCTCTAGGAGGGTGAGCAAAATTCTTCAGTCCGTTTTCAGGCTTATTCTAATTTTGTCTTCCTCCCCATTCCCCTAATCACACATGAACCTTATGGCCCAGTTACATTCAACCTCATACGGTTCTGGGCTAAGCCAGCTTTTGACACCTATATGCCTTTAAACAAGCTAGGTCCTTTGCCTTAATTGTCCACCTTCTTCTCTGCCCAGCACTTTAAGACCTTTAAACCACATCTCTCTTGAATAAGTTTTTAAGTGAAGGTATGCATGTTTATCCATAGGCTTCTAATACCCTCAACATCTGTTCGTGTCTCTATTATATTACAGTATTGCACTGAAAAAAATTAGCTATGTATCAGCTTCTTCTGCTAGTAGACTATGATCTTCTAAGAAAAGAGGCCATGTCTTTTTCATCTTTGCATTTCCAGTGCCTGACATAGAACCTGTTCCATAATAGCTGCTAAATAAGTGTTTGTTTACAGAATTAATCAATATCAGAGCTGATGTCAGGGAGATCCCTAGAATGGTTCTATTTTGGAAGGCAGCGCAGAGACCACCTAGTACCAGTGACAAGTAATGCTGCCTTTGGATAGTCTCACTGAGGTCTTGGAATTGTAACTGTATTCTATTTCTCCTTCCACACTTGGGATGGATGAAAATTATTAGGTGATTTTTTTAAAAATCTTACTTGAAGACTTAACCTTTATTAGAACTTTCTCTATCTGATTATTGCTGCAATCCCCATGGGAGAATCTTTTTAAGTCTTATTCTTAGAGAGAGTTTAATATAGCAACAGTAGGACAAGCTACGAATTATTGCAATGAAGGAAGAAAGTGCTTATTCAGTGTACTTGACAATTAAATATAACTACATTCAGTATGGATTACGGCTACCAGTTTTCCATGGGGGATGCAACTGCCAAGGCTCTCTCCCTATTCGGAAAGGCCCTTCCTGGAATTTGCACTCCATTCCTTCACGCCTGTCCCTGTGCCCATCAGGAGGTCATGACTGTTGATGACAGAAACCAAAGGAAAAAGGTCCTCTGCTTGGAACTGCAGAGAACCACCACCAGTCTAGCAGGGACTTAAAAACCTGGTCTTGGGAAATGTGGAATTCAAAATAGTGAATTCAGTGCAAGGAATCCCTCTCTTTTTTTTTTAAATTAAATTTAGTTTTATTTAAATTCAATCAATTAACATGTAGTGTATTATTGGTTTCAGAGGTAGAGTTCAGTGACTCATCAATTGTATATAACACCCAGTGCTCATTATATCATGTAACCTCCTTAACGCCCATCACCCAGTTACCCCATCCCTCCATCCACCTCTCCTTCAGGAACCCTCAGTTTGTTTCTTAGGGTTAAGAGTCTCTTATGGTCTGTCTCCCTCTCTGATTTCATTTTATTTTATTTTTCCTTCCCTTCTTCTATGTTCAACTGTTTTGTTTCTTATATTCCACATGACTGAAATCATATGGTATTTGTCTTTCTCTGACTGACTTATTTGGCTTAGCATAATACCCTCTAGTTCCATCCACTTTGTTGCAGATGGCAAGATTTCATTTTTAAAAAAATTATTTATTTATTTCACAGAGAGAGAGAGAGAGAGAGCATAAGCAGGGGGAGCAGCAGAGGGAGAGGGAGAAGCAGGCTCCCCGCTGAGCAGAGAGCCCGATGTGGGGATTGATCCCAGGACCCTGGGTGGAAGGCGGATGCTTAACCGACTGAGCCACCCAGGCGCCTCAAGATTTCATTTTTTTTGATGGCTGAGTAGTTCAGTAAATAGAATCTCTCTCTTCTCTATTTCCTCAAGGAATGGATAAAACATAATAAAAACCAGGAAAAAAATTTATCGGCAAGACCCAAACAAAGATGTACAGCTTCATGCCATTGCCATCAAAATGGGGTAGGATGCCAAGAAGGGGAACAGAAGATTCTGGTGTGGTTTTGCTCAGTCTCTAAAAATGCTCATCAAGCTTCACCAATTCAGAGAGATGGGGATTGAGGTGTAAGTCCAGGGAAAAGATGAGGGAAAAGTAGTGGGAGCCAAGGCCTCATCTTCCTATCCCAGAATTGTTCAGCAAACAAAGGATATATCAGGCTTTCTCATTTTCCAGGGGTCATCACTGAACTGTGGGGCTGAGTCACATCTTGCAGGAAACTTTGTGAACATAGACTAGCTACATCCACCACTGGGTGGAGTGAACCTTGGCACGGAATCCTGACTGAGTGAGAACATCTCAGACAGGAGAGCAGAGCTCATGTGTTCGCTGATTTATGATTTTGTATTTTCATCTTTGGTCTTCCTCATCAATAAATGTTTTGTAATGTGTATATGCCTTTAAAAGATAAAAGTAATACAACTGCAATCATTTAAGAAAAACAAAGAAGCCCATAAAAAAAAAACAACCCAATCTTGAGAAATCCCTTTTTGGTGTTTCCTAGGATCCCTTAGGGAAGGAATCCCAGTTTGCCCATCCAAACTCAGCTCTCCGTCAGACTAAAGAAAGTGCCTAATCCCCCTGTGAGCTTCCTTCCCTGGCAAAGTAAACAGAGTAAGCTATCCCTTGTCTAACCCAATACGTTCAGAGACTGGAGCAACTACGAGTTAGAACTAGTTCGTGAAGGGAAATGGTTGGAAAGTCTCCAAAGAAGTACTACACAGATTTTTTTCGAGGATGAACATATTCGGGAAGGGAGCTGGATTTTTCATACTGTCCGCATGGTGTTTCCACTTCTTTCTGAAGCCAGACAGAGTTGGAGTGACAAATCCTCACAGCCGTTCCACAGCCGATGCCACAATTCCTTATGAGAGTTGAGCTCCCGTCCCTCCCTTCCCTTGGAGTCTTGGCCCCATGCACCCCTCACATCACTTTTCTGACTGGGAGGCAGTAATATTTCATGCGTCTAATCATTGCACAGACTTGCATTTGATGCTAGCTGCAGTAGGCTTAAATGACAAAATCATTTACATATGAGAAAATGCTCATGTGACTATTTAAACCGAAATCCTATGAACAGATCATAGGAGCCTAACATTCTAGCTGGTAGGATTTACACCCTTTACATTTTTCTTCCCCCCTCCCCCCCAATTTGCAAGATGGACACATATTATGTATAGATCCAGAACAAAGAATATATAATTTGCAACCGAATAAGAAATTCTGAAGGGGATTTTTTAAATACTTGTACCCCTTGACCTTCTCCCCTCCGCCCCCACACACAACAAGACAGTAATTGAATTAATTTCTCCTGTAGAAGTTTTCCTTAAACGAGGACAACTGGTTAAGAAGGAAATTTAGAACAAATAAAAGGAAATAACTTCTTCATGCAGCTTGTGGTCAGCTAAAGGAATTTGCTGTCACAGAAGGTCAAATGGTCAAATGCAGTAGTTGGATGACTTGAAAGGCTAGCCAACTGAGGCGTATTCAGGGGGGCAGTGGCTGGAGGAAGGGAAGGGGTCAGGAAGAAGGCAGGCAAGGGCTGCCCCAAGTCTCAGCGGGTAAGGGGAAGCTTTAGGGTGAAGAAGAGTTTCAGCTGGAACTGGTAACAAGAACATCCTGCTGACCTTGATTTGAATATTCAGAACAAGACCTTACTGATAAATTGCTCATGAAAACTGAAGCCACTTTCGTTTTAATGCCGCACTTGACCTTTGGTCTGCCCAATGGACTCACGCTAAGCAGCCATCTGGAGGTGGTTTTTATTCATGAATGCACTTGGGCATTTATTGAGTTTAGTGCCAGGTGCTGGCAACACCACAGCAAGTAAGAAGGGAAGAGCTCACAGTCTACAAGGAAAACATACGTAAAAAAACAATTATAGAGCAACCTATTAACGCTGTGATACCAGTGAGGTTCAAGTGCTATGGGAACCTAGATGTAATACATTTTGCTAGGCTGGCGAGGGGGTGGTGGGTCAGGATGTGTTTTTCCCAAACTTTCCTAGAAGTAAGAATCATCCTTAAAAACTGGCTGGAAAGGGGTGCCTAGCTGGCTCAGCCAGTGGAGGATACAACTCTTGATCTCAGGGTCTCTTGAGTTTAAGCCTCACGTTGGGCATGGAGCCTACTTTAAATAAATGAGTGAATGAATGCTTGGAAAAACAGATTCTTTGATTTCAACCCAGACCTACAGAATGAGAAGGTCCAGGGGAGAGGCCAGGAATCTGTATACAGAAGGTCCCCAACTTATGATGGTTCGATTTCACAATTTTTAGGCCCCAGCTTAACCAGCATTTCTTTTGTGAAACATCTCCTGATGCCCAAAGTCTGCGTTAGGCACCCACCCTGAGTATTCTGACAGCACCTTTTACGCTCTCTGCCACACTGAATGGTAATTACATGTTTGTTTGTCTGACTAACTCGCAGCCATATGGGCTGTGTCTCTATTACCAGGATACACAGCCTGACGGCAAGGAAGTGCTTCATCAGGGGAGGTTCGTGAGTGGAATCAAATTAAATCGAAGGTCCACATCAAACAGGTGGAAAAGGACTTGCAAAGCTCAGAGACTTGAAAATTGTGCAAGATGTGTTTGGGACCAAAGCAATAGTTTAGTGTGAGCAGTGCTCATAAATCACACGGAAAAGTAAAGAGACAGCGGGGCGTGAGCACCCCTGAAGACCACAGAGCTGGCTCTGCAAGCCGCCATGAGTGATGCAACTCTGTGATCTTGGGCTTTTCTGGAGTCATGGAACCTTGGAGAGAGTCTGATGAGAGCCATAGATCCTACCGCAGAAAAATCCCCACACAAATGAAAAGACTATGAACATTCTGAAAGAATTTCAATGAGTTTAGAAGCCTGAAGCCTACGCAACCCAGGTTAAGAACTTTGACTTGAAAGGAGACCCTGTAGGGAGAGTAACTTTGGCAGAAAAGGAGGGATGAAATCAGGCGGGGGTAGGGGTGGGGGGGTGGGGAGGCTGTTTTTTAAATAAAGTTAATGGAACACGCCACACCCATTCATTCCGGTCTTGTCTGTGGCTACTTTGGAGCTGCAAAGACAGTTGAATAATTGCAGCCGAGATCTTATAGCCTAGAAAACCCAAAGTGGTCCTCAGCAGCTCTTTACGGAAAACACTTGTTGACCAGGGAGGTGGCTCTGCTCATATTCTGCTCGAGTGGGTTTTCTACACATACATTCTGCAGCTGGTGTCCTTTCATTAAAAAAACAAAAACAAAAACAAAAAAAAAACAAAAAACAAACAAAAACCCACAAATGTATACATTTTAAATTGCTTTTCCTTTTCCAGGTTAAAGAAAGAAATAAAAAACAAAACAAACCAACAAACCCCAGAAAAGTCTAGTGCCAAATAGTGGCATGGTCATTAAAATTTTTTAAGTCAGAAATTTAAAATTATGTGAATATTTTAAATGGATTACTTCAAGTTGGATCCAGCCTTTCCCGGATGTTTTCCTCAAGGAGGTGGGTGGCAGCACAGGGGAAGTGAGGGGGGTAAGCCACCTCTGTGAATTCGCCTCAGTTATTTAGTCTCTGGGTACCTCAGTTTCCCCTTTTGTAGCAAAGAATAACAGATGCTCATTTTCCCCAGAGTTGCTGTGAAGTGTAAACGATACAGTGAAGGTCTGATAGATAGTTCTCACGGAACGTTACTAACAACGCTGATGTCTGAAAGACGTCATGAGCACTGGTGTCCCGTAGATTTTATTCCTAGACTGGATTTTACTCCATTTACGTAAGTCTGCATCAAAAGGGCTGCAATGACATTGTAATTCAGCCATGTTGAGGAAATCCTGCCCATAGCACAGGGCCTGGCACATGTTTAGTTCTGTCCACTGATTGGACCAGTGAAGGATGAGTGGTGAGAACCTTTTATAAACGTCAGGAGGTGGGAATGCCTTTTAAAGATTTGTATTTATTCATTTATCAGAGAGAGGGAACACAAGCAGGGGGACAGAGAGAGGGAACACAAGCAGGGGGACTGGGAGAGGGAGAAGCAGGCTCCCCTCTGAGCAAGGAGCCCGAGGCAGGACTCGACAGGGCCCTGGGATCATGACCTGAGCCGAAGGCTCAAACGACTGAGCCACCCAGGCGTCCCCAGTGGAAATGCCTTTTAATGAATTAAATGAGAAGCTCATTTTTATACCTTTAAAAATACAATGCATGTACTATGGAGATGATCGGAGCATAAGCAATTCTGGACAAGATGATATTGAGGTGAGAAATAAATTATGCAAACGATCGTTAACTTCCGAGTCTTAAATAAAAAGGAGAAAAAAATGCCTTGAAGAAATGAGGGAGGTATGCTTGGCTGACAAGGAAATTGACCATTTTCATATACCCAACATCCTGCCATTTCTCGTCCTCCTTCCCCTTCTGGTCAGCCATAATTCATTTCGTTCCCATCAGAAATATTTAAAGAACCCTTTGTAACAACTCTACAGTTGTAGATGGGGATACAATTTATCTCTTAAATCCTTCATAGGGACCTTTTGTTTTCTGCCTGCTCATAATCTCTCAGCATGGCTGTTGAAACAATTTATGGGTGCTCTGGCTTTCTCTCTTTTTGCTTCTCTTAGAATCTTTATCCAAGGTTCCCAAACATTTAAACATATTAACTCTTTTTAGAGAATTTTTTGTTTGTTTGTTTGAAGCTTTTTTTTTTTTTGGTCATTTCATATGGATTTCCCTCTTTTTTCTTTCTTTTTTTTTCTGTTGTGGTAAGAACAGATAACACCCTTCTTTTAAATTTTAAGTGTACGATACAGTATTTCTAACTGTAAGCACAATGTTGTACAATGTACTTTTTATCCTGTATAACTGAAACTTTCTACCTGTTGAACAGCAACCCCCCAATTCCCTCTCCCTGCATTGGACCATTTTTATTTTTATGACACTGATATATTGAGAAGATCAATGGGATTATTTTAGGATGGGGTTAGAGGGAAGAGAGAAAATATAA